GAGAACCAGTCCCATCAAAGGTTATCTTGTTGCGTTCCAACTAGATCTACCATAAGATAGCACTTCGAAAACCTTTCTAGTTAATAACTCATTTTGTTGGTAAACTAGTGGGCCTAAGATGGTTGATAATATCAATTAAGTTTTCGACTAACATAAGAAAAAGTCCCAATTTTCTGAATGCCCAATGCCAAATACCCTTAGCGAAAGGTCAATGCAGAAAAAAGCTGTCTCCGGATTCTTCATCACTTTTTCACATAAGGCATATATATTAAGTAGAGCTCTACACTTGTGTGAAGATTATCAACCATGAGGCATTTGTTCTGCAATGCGATCCAACAGAAAACTTGAATTTTCACAGAAATTTGCCACTTCCAGACAGAACCAAGGGTACAATTACCCCTTCTCACCCAGTCATTAAATAGAAGCCTATATGCCAACTTGGCTGAGAAAACTCCATCTAACTCAATCTCCCAAACAATTTCATCAGATGAAGAAGGGGAGATATAAACACCTTCAAGCAATGCCAAGAGATGTTAGAGTTGAAATATAACACTATCTGGAATTCTATTATATGCACATGCAATATTCCAAATCAATCCTTATGGTGATGAAGAAAAAAGGTTCGAAATTTTTGCAGGTAATACCTTGACAAGAGAGTCAGGAAATTGATATGATAATGGTCCATCATTGAGCCGCCTATTGAACCAGAAGAAGGTGTCTTCCCCGATGGTGATGAAGAAAAAAGGTTCAAAATTTTTGTCAAAGGAGGTAATACCTTGAAAAGAGAGTCAGGAAATTGATATGATAATGGTCCATCATCGAGCTGCCAACCAGAAGAAGGTGTCTTCCCCGTTTCCAATCACCACCTAAGATTGCTCATTACTATGTTCTTGCAGCTGAAAATATCATTCCATATTTGTGAAGAATAAATGCCTCCTCTCCCGTTTTTAATCATATGAGAAAGATTGTCAGAACCATATTTTGCAATCAAGACATCTTTCCAAAGATGATTCTGACCTTGAATGATTCTTCACCATCACTTTGATAAAAGGGCCTAGTTCATAAGTTTTAACTTTCGTATACCTAGTCCACCCATCTTGACAGGAGTGCAAATTTTATCCCATCGAACCAAGTGATATTAGTGATGTAAATCATCTATTGATCGCCAAATAAAATTTTGCATATATCTCTTGATTAATTTAATAACATCATCCGGCATTTGAAGAATAAACATAAGATAAATGGGCAAATTGGCATGTGAACTTGACCAAAGTAATACGCCTCCCCAAAGATAGTTTTTTGCTTTCCACAAGTCCAATTTTACTTGATAAGAAGATCCCAAACTTCCCTTGAGAGCTTAGAGTTAGAAATGGAGACTCTTAAGTATTTGAGTAGGAAGTTGTCGACTTTACATCCAAGGAGAGAAGCAAGTGAATGAACTAGTTCCCAACAACAGGAAACTCCCATTAAAGAGGTTTTGTGAAAGTTATTCCTAAGGCCAAGGGGCAAGCTAGCAGCATAAAAGAAAGGTACTTAGGTTTTTAATTTGAGAATGCTTAGCATCACAAAATATTAAGGTATCGTTAACATATTGTAGGTGAGAGATAACTAATCCAGATGGAGAAACTTGGAACTTTGCCAAATGTCCTTTCTCAACAATATTTTTAAGTGTTATATTAAAGCCCTCAGCCATCAAGGTGAAAAGAAAGGGAGAAAGGAGATCTCCATTTCTGGTACCCCTTGAAGCCTAGAAGAAACTTTTCAGACTGCTATCGATAAGGATGGAAAAATGAGCTGAAGAAAGACAACCCCTAATCCAAGAAATCTACTGAGTATCAAAACCCATACGACCCATAATCTTTAGAAGGATTTGCCTCTCAACTCTGTCAAAAGCTTTTTCCATATCCAATTTGATAACTACCCTTGCTTTCCTTTCAAGCTTACATGACTTGACTCTATCAAACGTTGAGACAATTCAATGAATGACACAAACACGATGAAGAGGAAGAATGACATCGTCTTTCATTTTGGTATTAGGTTATATATCAATCATTGTATATTCTATTTTGGACCATGTATTGAAATCTATGATGATTGTAAGCTCTTGTTTCAGTGATGTGAATATAAATGATCAACATACATCCATATAGGGGAATGACATCTCAATATTCTTGTATTTTTGCAAAATAATGAAAATACATAATGGATCACCTCCAATTACTTTTTTCGAAATTCAAGAAACACTAGTTTTAGGGATTTTTAGTGATTTTATATAATTTTGAATGAACCTGGTCAGATTACCGATTTTTTGATCCAGATTGTCGATTGACCATTATGTGTCACATATCCCTTTTAAAAGCTTGGTGCAACCCTATAATTATTTTGACAAAGACTCCATGCATGGCTTAGTTAAGAACTTGTTTGGATAAATCCACCTCATTGCTAAGTATCCTATTAGCATGTGCCCCATCCGTTTTGAATGATGTTGTAGGGGTAGTTTGTGCTTACTTGTATGGGGGACATCTTCACGTGCTCCTATAAAAAAAAAGGTCCTCTTCACTCCTACTTTCAATGAATATCAGTTTTAAGTTTTTAACTACCACCATCGAATGTGATGGACCATAGGCAGTCATTAAGAGCGATTGAAAAAGGGAGCTTTTAAATGGGTTCGATCCAATAGTGGAAAACGTACCAACCGCCAGCCTAATAATTTATTTGATCCATCGAAGGAGCTTACTTCAATGGAGTTCAGCTATCTAAAAGTCGAGTACAATGCCCATCTCATGGTAAATGAGCACGGGCTCATCAGCATGAAATGCGGTAATAATAAAACACTCACTTTCAAAGCCCCACCGTTTCTTTTTTATTTATTTATTTTCTTCCTCCCTCTCCCATTCCTCTATTTTGCAATGTGGATATTCATAGTTATAATATGAAATTGGGTGATTGAGCATAGGCCATTGAATGGGCAATAATCCAAAAGAAAATTTTTCAAATGTTGTGATACACTTCAGCCTATTAGAATTCATATTCAATGGCTAAAAATAATTGTAACGTACAAAAAATAAATGGTCTCATAGTATACAATCCCATATAAAGATATAATGAGATCTTTTTTGTTACATGGATAGAACTTGTTAACTGAATTTTAAGTGATGTGGTCTAAAGTTGTAGGAGAGGACATTGATATATAAAATCTCAAAGGAGTTGTGCTCTTCCCTTTTCTTGCCATCTTTCTTTCTTTTTTGCTTTTTTACAGGGTAACACTTAACCTCATGAGTAAAGTGGGTGAGTGAAGCGGCCTACAATCTCTGCAACGCTGTCTTGCTTTCTCTAGCAAGTCAGCAATGTTGTTGGAGAATTTCTTCAATCCAAACCAATATGACCTCTTCTCTTCCTCATGTCATTATATCACAGCAATAACATCTCTTGCTTTCTTAGAAATGTAGGTAGTGTCTTTTATTGTGGGAAAACAGCCCCTAAGAGAGGAAGAGAGTAGTAACTGTACCTTTATTTTCTACATTGATTTCATTTCCTAAATTTGGATGTAAATATGCTGTATATCTCTCTCCATTCCATTGTCACTCTTCTCTCAAGCTTTCGAAAATGTGGTCGAGAAAACATCGAAGCAAGACTCATGCTATCGACTCCCCAACAGCTTGCGGTGCTGGCGAAACCATCCAATCTCCAACTTGTGATGCTACCAAAGCCTGTCAATCTCCTCCCCCATTTGCTCTCAAAGTTCAGTCTGTTCCTTACTTGGAGCAAGCCAAAGCCAGGGCTGGTTCTTGCCGAGTTATCACTCTCACCATAAGACTCCCCTCCTTTCCTGCCTTCAAAAGAAACAAGAAAGATGTAAAATTCTCCTCCAAGAACAACTTGCCGCTTCTCTCTGACCTCTTAGCCAACAAAGAACCACCTACTACTAATCCTTTAAAACTGCCTTTCAAGACCAACTCACCACTTCTCTCTGACCTTTTAGCCCAGGAAAAGAAGAGGAAGAGCAAGAAAAAACCGAGTACTCCGGTATCATTGGTCAAGAGTTTCAGCCACAAAGTCGCTAAAATTAGCAACCGCAAGCCCAGATTGACACCCCACTTTGAAGGTGATGTCACTACCAGAGTTGCACACAAGTCAGTTGGTTTGCTCAAGAGTTTGGGCCATAATGTGGCCAAAATTAGCAACCTTAAGACCACATTGTATCGTCAAGAAGAAGGTCATGCCACCATTAAGGTTGCAGTCAAGTCTGTAAGGTCTAGGGAGTGTAGTTTAGAGAAGAGAAGCAACAATATATCAACTCTAAGCAATGGCAATGCTGGGAGTGGGTCTAAGGCAACATCCCTTTCATGGCATTTTTGTGTGAGTGGAAGTAAGATTCGTACCATGATCAGTGAGGTCATGCAAAGGCCTAAATCAGCTCTTAATACAGTGAAAGAGCTGGGGGGTCAGAAAGTAGTGGAATGGACCAAGAGGAGATGGGAGGGGGGTCGCCGAGGGATCTGGGAGAAAAGGATTTTGATGGGAAAGAGGTGTCGGCCCCTTGATTTTCCAGGCGTACTGCACTACGATCATAAGGGGAACCGTCTCCAACAACTTCCTCCTAGCCTTGAGGGGCATCAAACTCAAGCACAATATTTCGGTTTTGCACATCGACGGCTTCTCGAATCCAGTGCTAGAATGATTGTTAACTTCTAAGGTTATGGTGTCTTACTGGAAATCCTACACTTAGTTCATCAAAGATGATTAACATGGTAGTTAGGTCTATTGATTAGGAATGCAAATGCATATGGAATAGCGGCAAGTCTCACTAAGATCTCACTTGTTTAATATGCAATCCATTGCTTCTACTCGCATTTGCACTTAAATAGGATGGTAGAGATCCTCGGTAACATGCTTGATGCATTTGCTTTGTAACAAGGACACACCCTCATTGACAATCACTAGGTGTCTTGTGTTTGTTAATATGTTTCAGGTCTTTCTTTGGTATGAAGGGGTTTCATCATAGCAGGTTACATGATTATCATTTCCATCCATGTAAGAATGAAAGGTTTTAGAGTGTCTGACCTCTTTACCTGAAACTACTAATTTAAAAACCCTTTTTTTTTTTTCTTTTTCTTCAATAGTTTCTATCTCATTAGGTGACTGCCAGACATAATGTGGTGGCTTCTTTGTATTCCACTCTTAATTTGGTCTGTATTCACCATAAAAACACCTATGCCTTTTTCCAGTGAGATACAAACTGAATGCCAAAAGTTTTAGCCAACTCATAAAAAAGCCAAATATTTTTGGAGCTCAAAAAAGATGTTCATTGGAACACATGATCCGCCCCATCTAGGGGCTAATGATCCTAGTTCTCATCATAGTTACTGGGAACTAAAGTGGGAAAAACTCCAAGATCGGAAAGGGATTGTCGGATTGAGGGGGGACAAAAGATTTTGTTGTTTAGTACTGCACTCTATACCAGTTTTCTAGCACAAAATTGGATCCCATACAATAAAGGATCTGGGTCCCAACGCTATGGGATCTGGATCCCAATGTACAAAAGCCATAGTTCCTAGTTATAATGGGATCCTAACCCCAAATATCTTGGGACCTCGATACCTATAGATTAAGGTCCTTGATCCCTCTATGTAAAAGATCTCAGTCCCACAACCATGGAATCTAGATACCATTGCTAAATGGATGTCATTCCCCCCTCATGGAATCTCAATCGCAAATATCCTGGGAACAGCCCCTAAAATTTTGGGTCGTCAATACCAATGCATAAAATATCTCTGTCCAATATCAAACCAATTCACATAGCAACGCTCATTGGTGCTCAATCTTGACATTTAAGGGACCTCGAACCTAATCAGATGGGGATCCCTATCCCTCATGGACGATCAACCCAAGATGTTGTAAGATATTTTTAATTTCATTTATTTTGTTCGACAAAATATTGTGTTCAATTCTTTAGCTATTTTAATTCTTGAAATGGTTTATGTATTTCATTAGTCTAATACTCTATAATCCACACCTATCCATCACCATTAAGGCCTTTATATTGTCAACAAAATGGTGGGGTGAGCATCCCAAGTTTTGTGTTTTGTCTAACATTGTGTATATAACGATACATACTCTAACATATCTCTTTACATGAAGAGTTGACGCTTTGGGATAGAACCCTTATTGCAATGGTATATAATTCTGGAGCCCCACCACCCTATAAGTCCTACAATGAAACTGTTTATTAGCTACGGATGCCGAGCATGAGAAAACCCCTTGTTATCAACAAAATTGCTTATCTATTGTCGTACTCTAGTCTGCTCTGCCTCATCCCTTACTAGCATATTAAGAGCATCATGTTAACATGCAGACCCCTCTATATCCTGATGGGGCTTCATCTGCCTCTTCCCTCTAGGGTAGGTGTAGACAACCATTCTCGAGAACGATACTTAAAGCTAAGAGAAAAGCCAAACAATGTAATGGAATATTAGCCTGACTCCATTGGCCCACAACCAAGTCCTTGAATTTTGGAAACAACATGGGATCATCATATAAATCCATTGAAATTCATCCAACATGGTATCCATGTGCTCATATGCATCTCCAATTACCTCCTTTTCACTATTATCATCTAGATTGGATTTGTAAACCCCAAAGAAGTTTTGTTTGTAACCTAAAAACTATCATCCATTATTGTTTTGTCCCTATTGGCAGGGCCATGCGTGAGACATTCCCATTGATCGCCCATGACAAGGGATGTCAAGGAGAGCTTCATTTCCATTTTCTACCTCAATATATAGTGATGACGGAATCTAGTTTTTTTTGGCTTTTAGGAGTTCGAGATTTGAGATAGTCCTAAATATATACAAACCCTTAGTGGTTCTGTATATACTTCACAACATTTTTTGCCTCCTTAAAATGATCTCTAACAAAAGCAAATGAGACATTTTTTGCTTTTTATCGAGAATATCCTTCATGAGCAGGCTCATTGTGTGAGATAAGCACTCTAACACAAAAATATGGGGATGGTGGTGCTGAATTATTATACCAACACCCCTATAGTTTGAGGCATTATTAGTCACTAATTGAACAACATTATAAGGACCATGGACTTCCAAAGAATATCGACATTGTTTTTGAACATAGCCTTACCTCTACACTCAACCGTTCTATTTAGCAAATATTCATTTTTGATATTACTCCATCCATAAGAAACAATATATACTCCATAGCTTGGCCATTTAATTGTTAATACACCAAATTCATGGTCAATCTTGCTCCTTTTCTTATCAAGCAAAGTTGTCCTGATCTTTTTATAGTCGGGGATCGCATAACCCCCTAGACCATGGTTTAAGGCATATACCATTTTATTGGAACCTAGGCCCTTTTACATAGTTAAAAAGGTTTAAAAGTTGGACAGAGTGAACTAGTACGATATAATAGTTTTTAATTTTTCTATTTTCTATTGGCTAGAACACTTACAGAGGTTTAAATAATACAAAATAAACTCAAAAGAGATGAATAAGAATAACAAAATGGATTCTCACTTGCTGCCACTTAATACAACTCTTTTATTTCAACAACAAAAATTACATAAGACTTTCTTGAAATAAGAAACACAAACTGCATAACATAAAAATATAGTGCCAGGAGATTACCTCAATTGGACTTGATACACCCTACTGCAAGTCTCTTCCTCCGATGGCACACAAGATCAAGGTCTACCTCAGATCTTATAAGTATTAGGCTAAGCACCCTTGAATCACATAGAGCACAATGGAATAAAACTAGGCTCAAAGCTTTGTAAGAAATGAGACCTCCCCCCTCCCAGAGACTATTTACATACTCATACTTAATATTGAAAGGTGCTAGAAATGTATGCTTCAGCTTCTGTAACCTAATCCCATCAAATATTCAATACATTGAAATTATATTACACTTTCTTTTAATTTTCATATTTTTCTTACACATGCTTATTTGAAAAGTCTAAATCTCTTTACTTTTATTTCAAATCTCTTAGATGGCATATTGCATGCGTTATAAAATAAGAAGGCGAATGCATCGTGTGGGGTGTGCCACCCAAGGAGGCCCAAGTGGGCCCCACGCACCTCCCCACATTCCATATTATGGTGGGGCCCATAGAGTACATTGGGCCCCCATATATATTAATATTTGTAAAATTAAGAAAATAATTTTTAGAAAACAATTACTATTTTATTTTTCTCTTTGAATAATTAAATATTGAAAATTCAATTTTAGCCTATTTATAAATCTATTTTGTGAAAATAAAATATCCAAAAACTTTTAAAAATTCATTTTATTAATATAAAAATAATTTAAGATCAATTAATTGATTATAAATTAATTTGATAGGATTTGGATTCAACTGTGTTAAGAAAATAACAAAATTACTAAAGCACTCCATCTTCTACTAGAGACCACGAATCACACCCAATTTATCAAATTGACCTAATAGTTTCCATAACCCACTGTCCATCATAGGGTTCATGATTAGGTTACCAAATTCAACCAATAGGTTAAGGGACACAATTCTAGTCTATGGATTACAGGTTCCACCATAGGGACAAGTCCTAAGTCACACAAACCAGTGCACGCATATCGCATTTGGTGCATATGTGGGTTATCTCTCGGACATGTACAAGCATCATCCTAAATGGTTCTTTGTTTCTCATATGGTTATCATGTGTACATGTTGTATGATGGTATAAGATTAGGCTTTAGTCCTTGTCCCCTTAGACCCACCAATTACATACAAGGGTTATACAATCCCTTGGCTCACTACTTTGGGCAACTCCGACCTCATTAAGGGATACCCATATTAATCCTTCTTGGTTGTACTCTATGCTAAGATATTTAGGGATTTGATACTCGACTGCCCTAGCTCATCAAGCCTTGTCTGAGTCTCAGCAACAATATTGCCAATCTTGGTCCTTCTAAACCATACTCCCACTAGAATTCGTTGACTAGTTACATGCTCTCATAAGACTTTTAAATGGCCACAAAAATCAAATATCTCTTATTTGGCATTTGAAACCCGTACAGTCTCTCTTCTTAACTCTCTCCCAATCCTATCCCACTTACATGTTTAATAAAAAATTTGCAACTAATAGCATTGTAAGCATGTCTGCAACCATTACCTCTGTGGGATTGTATGTGATCTCGATCTCTCCACTCTACACCTTATTTCGAAATGGATAATAACAGGGCTTTATGTGCTTGGACTTATGGAATCGTGGCTCTTTAAACATACATATTACGACTTGGTTGTTGCAGAAGTGTCTTACGCTTGCACATTGTACATGCTCAAACTCTAACCGATTAAAAAACTTGTTAATCTATACAGCCTCCTTAATTACCATACAACATGCCACATACTCTGATTCTAGGGTGAATGATGCCACCACATCATGTTTCTTTGATTTTCAACAAACAACCCCTCCTCCAAGCATGAACAAATATCAAGATGTGGATTTTGCATCATCTGGATCAACCTGGTAACTCGCATATGTATATACTTGGATAGAAATTTATGTTCCTCCCCTATATGTTGCATATATTTCTCAGTTGCTTTTATGTATTTTAGAACGCTCTTAATCACTTTCCAATGCTCAATCACAAGGTTGCATTGGAACTGGCTAGCCATGCTCATGGCAAAGGACAAGTCTGGCCCTGTTCTTGATGTGGCATACATCAAAGACCCTACGGTGCTTCTATATGGTAGTCTTTCCAGGACTTTTTCCTCATCATCTTCACTAGGGCACACTTAGAGGCTAAGTTTTGTCTTCTTATTGATAGGGGTTGATATGGGCTTACACTTGTCTATTTAAAACTTTTCACTAATCTTTTGTAGTAAGCCGCTTGAGAAAGTTGAATAGTTCAGTCCTTTCTATTTTTCGTTATCTTGATTCCTAACATGTATGAAGCTTCCCCTAAATCTTTCATATCAAAGTGTTGTGCAAGAAACTCTTTTATTTTTAAAACAAGGGCAATCGTG